AGGCATTTTTTGTTGTTGGTGGTGGTGGTGGTGGGTCGTGGATCTTGAACTCTGGGCCTGGGCGCTGTCCCTCAGCTCTGCAGCTCAAGGCTAGCACCCTACCATTTGAGCCATGGTGCCACTTCTGGCTTTTTCTGCCTATGTGGTACTGAGGAATCTATCCCAGGGCCTCATGCATGCAAGGCAAGTACTCTACCACTGAGCCACCTTCCCAGCCCTTTCTGAGATTTGAAAGAACTGAAGAAAGTAAAACACCTTTTGCCTATAAAAGTATTTTAGACTTTTTTTTTTTTTTTTTGCACCCTGGTCCTGGGGCTTGAACTCGGCCTGGTGCTGCCCCTGAGCCTCTGTGCTCAAGGCTAGTGCTCTACCCCCTAAAACACAGCTCAGCTTCCAGCTTTGTTGGTACTTAATTGGAGATAAGAGTTTCACAGACTTCTTGTCCAGGCTAGTTCAAACCACAGTCCTCAGATCTCAGCATCCTGATTAGAATTGTAGGTGTGAGCCACCCCTGCCCAGATCAGAATTACTCTTTTTTTGAATGATGATGCTAGGAATTGAACCCAGTGTTTCACACATGTTCAGCAAGTGCTCTATTATCAAGCCATCAACCATCTAGAATTTATTTTAGAGGTCCTTCCCTTTGGTTGTATTCAGTTTAAAACCTGTACAAAGGAAGTAGAGTTGTGGCTCCAAATGGTAGAGCACTACCCTTGAGTGAAAAAGCTAAGGGACAGTGATCAAGCTTTGAGTTCAAGGCCTAGTACTTGCCCTCCTAAATAAAAACTAAAACCTGTATAGAGCCTGGCACTGGTAGCTCACATCTGTAATTCAGTCTACTAGGAGCCAAGTTGACTTGGAGGGTTGAGGTTCAAAGCCAGCCTGTTGAGACCAGTCCTAGAGGCTCCATCTCCAGTTAACCAGTGAAATGTTGGACTGTATGTGGCTCAGGTAGTAAAGCAGAGGCGCATGAGGCCCCACATTCCAGCCCAGGTACCAATGCAAAAAACAAACAATAAACAACAGTAACAAAATCTTCTATGACATAAATTTATGTTATACTTTCAAAAACTTTGTATGGATAGAAGTGGAGCTGTGACTCAAAGTGGTACAGCTGGGGCTGGGATGGTAGCTTAGTGGTAGAGTGCTTGCCTTGCATGTCTGAGGCCCTGGGTTCGATTCCTCAGCACCACATAAGCAAAAAGAAAAAAGCCGGAAGTGGCGCTGTGGCTCAAGTGGTAGAGTGCTAGCCTTGAGCTGAAGAGCTGAGGGACAGTGCCCAGGCCCAGAGTTCAGGCCCCACAACCAGACCCAAAAACAAAACAAAGTGGTAGAGCTCTAGCCATGAAGAAAAAGAGCTTGGCGCCCAGGTCCTGAGTTCAATCCCCGTGACTGAACAAAACAAAACCCCAAAACATCAAACTTTGTATGGGAATCTAAAATGTTTGTTTTGGTACCTTGTAAAGGGGAGGCATTTTTTGTTGTTGTTGGTGGTGGTGGTGGGTCGTGGATCTTGAACTCTGGGCCTGGGCGCTGTCCCTCAGCTCTGCAGCTCAAGGCTAGCGCTCTGCCACTTGAGCCACAGCGCCATTTCCGGGTTTCTGGTGGTTAATTGGAGATATGAGTCTCACAGACTTTCCTGCCCAGGCTGGCTTTGAACTGCAATTCTCAGATCTCAGCCTCCTGAGTAGCTAGGATTGCAGGCGTGAGCCACGGGTGCCTGGCAGGAGAGAGCAATTTTAATTCCTCCAGGCCTAAGGGCGCTCACCTGAAGGAAGTGGCAGGTGCCATTGCCGCTGGATCCAGTCTTCCCAGTGACCTTTAGTTTCTTGGGAATTTGTACTGGAATTGATAGCCAAGAAGTGCTTACCTTTTTGTTTAAAAGGGAATCTAGAATAAGTTTTGTACACTAAGATAGAAGAAAGCAGCTGGTGAGCACACAGGAAGCATCTCTCTTCCGCCCTCAGACTGTTTTGCATGGGACTTCTTGCTTAGCGTTTGTGAGGTTTGTCTCTGAGCACATACATGGTGACCAAGAGGCCTTTATTGGGTAGAAAGTGAAGATTGTGTGTTGGAATGTTAAGACATTTTTAAGAAATAGTTTACAATTGGGTAGATTGGTTTGTTTGCACCTGGCAGAATTGATTTTCCACCCTGCCTGCTGAGAGGAAGCAGGTTGCTTTACTTGCTCCACCTTTGAATTAAACATTTTGTGTATTTTTTAGTGGCAGGAGGGACATTGTATTTTTGTGGTAAGAGAACTACAAAAGGCCACTTTGTGGACTTACCTTTTAATCTTGACAGTGGGCAAGATGACTACACTTGCTGTGTAGTCTTAAATTTCCTGTTGTTCTTGCAAGAGTACTGTTAGCTGTTAGAACTAAACGTGCTTCATCCCATGTCCAGAGGGAAATGCCACTTCAAAAACAGGGTGAGCTAGCTTTGGTTTAATAGTTTATGGTAGAAATATCTATCCATTTATGTATTTTTTCCATATATGTTGGCTGTGGGGCTTGAACTCAGGGCCTGGGTGCTGTTCCTCCTGAGCTCTTTTTGCCCAAGGCTAGAGCTCTACCACTTTGAACCATAGCTCTTTTTCCTGTCTTTTGGTGGGTAATTGGAGATAAGAGTCTCATGGACTTTCCTGCACTGGCTGGGTTTGAACTGCTGCAATCATCAGATCTCGGTCTTCTGAGCCACCAGCTCCCAAGCTTTTTTTTTTTTTTTTTTTTTATGGCCAGTCCTGGGGCTTGAACTCAGGGCCTGGGCACTGTCCCTGGGCTTTTTTTTGGTCAAGGTTAGCAC